CTTAGTCTGGAGAAGAGAAGACTGAGATCTCATGAATGCAATAATGAGATCTCAAAGGGATGCCAAGAGGATGGTGCCAGGCTCTTTTCAGCGGTGCCCAGTGATGGGACAAGGATCAATGGCCATAAACTAAAACATAAGAAGTTCCTCAGCATGAGGGAGAACAGCACTGGAACAGCTCCCCAGGGAGGTCATGGAGTCTCCCCTTCTGGAGACATTCCAAACCCATTTGGATTAATTTCTGTGTAACCCACCCAGGTGACCCTGCTTTGGCAGGGGATTGGACTGGATGATCTCCAGAGGTCCCTTCCAACCTTAACAATTCTGTGATTCTGTGGAAGAGAACTGCCTTCTTTTTACTTTATTCTGGTACATGTAAATAAAGAGGGTTGGACATTTCTCTCTTCCCTCGTTTTGAAGTCAGTGTGGTAGTCAATTAAAATGCCCTCTTACATGAATAAAATGATCAGAATCTGGCCCAGAGCATTTTTTTCTTTTCCTGCTGTGAGATTATTTACTAATATAATTTACAAAATCTTATGTAAATGCCCACAGTGTTACAAGGTAGATAGTCAAAGAAAAAACCTGAAATGTGCAAGGTTTCCTTAAATATTGTGTGCTAATCAAGAGAAGATTTTTTTTAATGGAAGACCTTTAATTTTATTGTTTTGATTTCTAAGAGGACTTTTCTTCAGTGTTAGATTCTCAGAAATATTTTCTTTTTTTTTTTTTTTATTTAAAGTAATTAATAGTGGAGCAGGCTTTTAGTATCTACCCTGGAAGGTAAAAACCCTTAATCACAGTAACATCATTAGTGCTTTCAAGCATTTAATTTTGATGCTTGACAAAGCGCATAGCCATTGATAAGAACAAATAAGTGCTGTGTGCAATTGAGGGAATAAAGAAAAGCATGAAAACCCCTAAGCTTCAAGTAATTAAATTTAAATATGTTATTTGAATTTAGCTGAGATAATGTACAAACTGTGGGTATATTTTTCAGTCAGTGAAAGACCCCTTGAGTAAACATGATCCATTTAAATTCAAATCATGGGGAGTGGAAAGTAAACCCTGCTGTGGGTAAGAAGGCATCTTCAATAAAACACTGGGCATTGTGTATCTTTGATATCCGAGTACTCATGTGCTGTAGTTTTATAAAGGGCTGTTTTCACTCGTGGATGCCTACATGCCAGAGACTTTATTGCATCTATTTATTTCCTGTTTTTTTTCCTGTTTCCATTCCCCCCCACCCCTCCTAATTTGAACCAGTAATGAAAAACTGACACTCTGCCTCTGCCATTCTTTAAAGTGCCTCAAAACTGCTACAATTCAGCACTTGCTAGCCTTGGGATATGGCTTTATGGCATTTGGGTGAAGTTTTTGTAGTACATCTGTGCTCTTTCTCTCTCTGTAGGCTGCAAGCTCAGAACTGAGGTAATAAAACTACTAGTAGGTGTTTAATGGCAGGTTATTGAGGAAGTAGATGAAAGAAAATTGCAACATTCACATCAGTAGGGAGTGGGATTTTTAAGGGAGAGGAACTGCTGAGCTTTGAACTCAGGAAAGTTACACTTGGTGCTTTTGTTCAAGGGGAGACCCCCTTTTTAGACACCAAAATACCTCATTCTGTGAAATGGGCTGTTCTGGTGGAATTGGTGCTTGGTATGTGCAGTCTGTGCACGTGTGGCAGGAAGCTTGCTGGTGTGAGCAGTGATGACTGAGAAACAAGTCATTGCTTATTGCTCCCAAACACAAGGGAGCAAGCTGGAGGAAAGTGCAAAAAGTGAAAGAAAAAGTGATCTCCTGCCCCCTTCCATAAGGGAAGTCTGATGGGACCTTACTGTGAGCATTTTAATTGTGTATGATACTCTCTTTGGTCAAGCTGTCCTCAATATATTCTATGTAGGAATGTGTGCATCTAATGAACAGTTAGCCCGCACACATAGAAGAGAATATTCTGTCTTTTATTCTTCTTGTGATCAAAGCATCATTTTACAATGTTACATGTTTACCTTCACATCATCCCTAAGAGGCAATTTAAAGGCAAAAGGCAGAAGAACAAAGAATGTAAATATTTTGCACAAGCTCACTCAGAAGGCTGTGTCTGCTGCCTGGAGTGCCATGTTGAGCTGGCAGTGCTGAGGTCCTCTTTGTCCTGGACAATACTGACCAGACTCTTATGCCCTTTGGTAATACACGTGCAAGGAGAAACTCTTGTTCTTGCAGGAGTCCAGTCTTTCAGGTCAGATGGTGGATCCTGAAAAACAAGGGAAGAAAACTAACCTGATTTGTAGGGCTACTTGCAGAAATAAAAGGGAACTGGTAAGTGAGGATTGTATCTATGCAGTGGGATAACCGTAGCCCCCTGTGGTACTGGGTCCAGTTCCTCAAGGTCCTCAGAGTTTCAGCTCCCCATCCTACTGCACAGACCATTGTGCTGCAGGGACATCACTCCTGAAGAGCTTCTTGCAGTTCTGTAGTTGGACCTTGGTGTTCTTTATAGCATAAGGAGAGGCAGGATGTGCAGTCAAAACAAAGTCAGGAACAAATGGCTCATCTGCAGAATCCAGGACAAAAGAATGAATTTGCATATAAAGGGCAGGAAGGAAAAAATAGGGCCATTCTTAAAAGTGTGAGGACTAAGGAAGGAATTGATGTACAAGTCCTTTTTGTGTCCTGGAGGCCAGGAGCATGTTGGTTATTCCGGTGTGGTGTAGTGCCTAAGATCCGCTGCCCATTTTTGGGAGACGTGAGCAAGCACTTGTTAAGTTATATAAAGCTGAGAGTCTTTCACAAGAAGGCTTAGTTAATATAAATTCTTCTGCTACAAATAGCCATTTTACAACAGAGAAGAAACATGTTTTCATACAGCACTTACCAGCCCAATATTGAAGGACTCACTAAAATTCCATTATAGATGCCCACTGAAATGAAATGGGAAACCAAAGAGGTTAAAGAGAGGATACAGGAAAGAAAGTGAACTTTCTCTCTACAGTTCTTGAGGTCACACCAGCATAAGTGACAGTTTCTCAATAAAAAGAATTGCTTGTCTGCCCTGCATGAGGCGGCGATTAACTAAGCAGATTTCTCTCCGCTTGGTTTATCAGTAATGGCGTGTGCGTGTGTGTTTTAGGGTAACAAATCCGATTTCTAATTTATTAGCTGAGCAGTATTCTTATTGCAGAGGGGAATTAAAAAAAGGTTTGAGTCTCTCTTGAGGAAGTGTGAGGTTATTAAGCAGGTTCGCAGTCGTGCCACAGATATAATTTGATGGAACACACCTGGATCCTCCCTGTTGGCTGTGTTTATAGTCTCCTCTGTCATTCAGTATTTGCCTTTGCCTGTGAGAGACAAACAAGGAAAAAAGAGATAAAGGTTTTGGAGGCATTTCTAACAGAGATGCCAAACTGTCAAATAGTAAATCGGGAAGCAGCTCCCTGATGGTTTCACATCAAGAGGAGACACCCTTTTGTGACTGCAGCATCTACCAGTTATTTTCACTTCCATCAGAACTGTCTGATATGGTCAAGTAGGTTTGAGACTTTTAACATTCAATTTTCCTTTCATTTATAGTGACTGTTTTATTTATTTGCCTTTCTTGGTAGTTTTCAAGGATACCTGCTTCAAGGATACTTTTAACTTTATAGCATTTTCATGGATCGTCATCCCAAAGTTAAAGGTAGAAAAAGAAACAAAAAGAAAGGGAAATGGGGAAAAAAGAGCAGCTACAGCATCAGGAGACAAAAGAAGAAATATATTCAATTTAGGAAGACCTCTAATCTCTGGTTATGCAGGACAGCTTTGTTAGATAAGATTAAAAATTTCATGAATGTCCCTTTTTATCCCTGGAGACTCCGCCATTTATACCAGCTATTGTCAGCATCAAAAGAGCTTGATAACAGCTGGCTAGAGATGTGACCACACAGCAACACAACAGCAAGAAAGGGGCAGCCGGGTTCATAAATCTTCAGAAAACCCGTTCCCCAGCGCAGCCATGAATCTGCTGCAAGCACAGGCAAAGGGAGAAGGCATTGTCCTCCAGCCAGTCAGAAACCTGAACTTCAGCATTAGCAGGGGCTCTTTAGACAGTGCACGGTGCACAAAGAGATGTTTTCCATTATCTTCTTCATTGCAGCCTTTATTGCTGACACGGATACAGTTTAAAGGGTCTTGGAGTTTAGCTTGTTGCTAGGTAGAGTTTTTCCAAAAATGCTGCAGCCCTTGGTGGTGCAATCCTGCTCTCTCTGTGCATCAATGCAGCGCCATATGGGACAGGGTCAGGAGATGCCATTTCGGCATACAGCGGACCAGTCTCTGGTATCCTTTGGCTGGGAAGGAGCTAGCACAGGCAGAATCTGACCCTTGGCCATTTTCCAGGGACTGCTCACGGATTTGGGCATAAACAGGGCAAGTTAGGAGGCACAAATTGGCTCAGACTCTTGAAATACAAGTTTCCTGGTTTTAATGGGAGGGCCCAAATTCATACATATTCAGCTTTACTCTGGCCTTACTTAATTCAGTGGCAATATTTTCTCAGCTTTAGAGAAAACCAGATTGGAACCTCAGGAACTTCATAGTTCTTTTAAAGTAAATAGCAAATGGAATAACATCAGTTAATTTTAGGAGATGGAAGAAGAGAACGACTGTGGACTAAAATGACACGGGACAAAAGTAAGAGATCCCTTTAGTACCATGATCTCTTATGAAGGTTTTTACCTGGGCATCGTGAATATTGCAGTGTTTAGACAACTGTGTTGTTACTTCAAAGCCCACCTATCTTGTACTGTCCAGCATTCAAACCCAATCTTTCTTAGAGATGATGAAATGTAATTTTGGTAGAGAAAACAGGAAAGATCTTTAATGCTTTTAATTTCCCCCACCCGCCAAGAAAAGCATGGTTTCTGGAAGTGCTCATGTTGTGAAAGTTACAACTGAAAATACATGTTCCTCATTAAAATTAAACTATTGCTTATAATGTTTTTGGTTTTTTTTTCTTCTGGCAGCTCCATCCCCGATTGCATTGATCCAGGCTAAGGAAATAACAAGGCACAGCGTTGCCTTGGCTTGGCTGGAGCCTGACAGGCCAAATGGAGTCATCCTGGAGTATGAGGTCAAATACTATGAAAAGGTACTGCTTAAAAATGGACATGTAAGGAGTTCCCTTTGGGCTTGGGCAGAGCTTTTTTACTTCATTCCCTGCGGTTTATTTCCAGATGGGATTCCATCATTTGAAACCAAATAGATTCAGTTTAATAAAATCCAATTAAGGATTTCATGCATTTGAATGGTTGCTTGAACGAGTAAGACTCACAGGCTGTTCCTGCTGTATGGTATGAGTTTATTTTGTTATTCTTTCCTACCTAGAAACTGAGCTTTTATAGCTATCACATTTATAATGAGAGTCAATAATGTTGGGCAGAAGTGAGACATTAGCTTTACTTCATAGACAGAAGTATAATAATGAGGAATGTAACAGAGTCATAATAATAAGATCTGTTTGCTGACAGCTTCTGCTTCGAGTGATAGTGTGGACTGGCTGGCTTTTAATAGAGAATAAGGAGAGAAAATTAGATTCTTCATACTTTCCGAGTTAGAGGGAGATGTTATTCCTTCAAATAACTTCTCAAGTAGGGAATTATGAAAAGAGCTATTTTCTTTGAAGGCTCTCTGCAAAAATGAACAATTACCTACTCTTGCTTGTGTGTGCTGTCTCTCTCATGCACATGCATACTTTTAATTTTTTTTATTAAATCACTTGCTTCCCACATATAGAAAAAGGCATCTGATTTGCAGGGAAGCTAGATTATTACATTTTCTGATAGATTTTCCAGCCAGCCAAAAATAGAATAATTTTTAATAATGTACTCTCTGGAAGGCGTTTTGGAAGTCTTTTTCTTTTTTAAAATATTTTTATCTTTTTTTTTATATGGCTTCTGGCTGGTAGGAAGAAAAAGAAAGTGCCAGCATGTGTGAGTAAAATGTGCTTGTTCATCAAGAGGATCCTTTTTAATGCTTGGCTGTTTTCCAAAGGTTTTCATTGTGTGACTTCTTAAATAATCAGTGATATATGAGCATCATACCTAGTGCCTCATCCTCCTTTTTTGGCTTGCTCAGAGCCCCGTGCAGCACACAGTGCTAGGGGGATTGAGCAAGGCCAGCAGCAGGAGCCCTCAGGATGTATTTTGAGAATTCCATAGCTGTTGCTCATCGTCTTTCATCAGGAAAGTTTTGGCAAGGCAGTGGGGTTCCAGGTTCACGGTGCAGGGAGGCATTTTCACTCCACCACGCTGTGTTCCGTGTTGGCAGGACCAGAACGAGCGCAGCTACCGCATCGTGAAAACGGCCTCCAGGAACACCGACATCAAAGGCCTCAACCCCCTGACCTCCTACGTGTTCCACGTGCGGGCCAGGACAGCAGCAGGCTATGGAGACTTCAGTGGGCCCTTCGAGTTCACCACTAACACAGGTAATGACATTCCCACTGAATTCTTGTGCTTCTCCTCGAGCAGGGAGTGCAGATATAACCGGGCTGCGTGCTGGGAGTTTCCCGTCGGATGCTTGGAGTGTGGTGTGTCTGCTCTGAGAAAATGTTCCTCCTGGGCTGTTAGTGATGCTGTGAAGCTGACCCAAGACATCTATTTGGCTGTGCTGTGTTGTAGATTCTAGAGTGACAGTACTTCTCTGCAGCATAACGAAACAGGCACCCCATAAACCCTTGAGAGCCACTGATGCTTGAGAGATTTTGTCTTCTGTAAAAGTAGACATTTGCACGTCTCTGGAATATCTTATTTCAATGAGAATAGAGCCCTGTTACTCCCCTTTACAAGCTATCAACATAGATCAGTTAGGTGTCCTACATCAGCTCCCATATTTGCACTTTTCCTTAGACAGTTCTATAAAGACAAGAATGTTCAAACTACATTGTCAGTAGGGCTTTTCACTTTGCTCAAGGAAACATGCAGATTTAGCCCTCAAAATGTTTGCTTTTCAGTGGCAGAAAGGCACTGTGACCAAGCCTATTTTATTTAGGACATACAGGTCTCCTTAAATCAAGTGAAGGTCATGCCAGTTAGTGGCAATATCATTCAGGATGTTAACAACTGAAAACAATCCATCAGGAGGAGAGTAGACATTTTAAAATAACTTACTCTCCCACTGTCAGTTGTGATCATCTGGCCCCCCTGAGAGAAAAAGAAGGAGGAAAGAAGTGTGGAAAGCAATTAGAAAGGCAAAAAAATTAGTCATTATACCCTCTGAGCAGCACTGGAGGGGAGAAGGAGAAGGAGTCCTTGTTCCTGGTGAGCTGAAGTTCCCCAAATAATTTTCAAGCATCATGTCTTCAGCTCATTAGCATCCTATTGGAAAATTGTGTCAAATGACTATATTATAAAGGCCTGAAAGTAGATTTGAGTGCTACTCTAAAATGCCTTCACAAGCCAAAAAGCTTTGAGCTTCACAAGCTCATTGAGTGCTACCTAGGTTGATTTTTTTGAGGTTGTCTGACATAAATGCTCTCTTTTCTGTTTTCAGTTCCTTCCCCCATCATTGGCGATGGTACCAATCCCACAGTGCTTCTTGTTTCAGTGGCTGGCAGTGTTGTTCTTGTGGTCATTCTCATTGCAGCCTTTGTCATCAGCAGGAGGTAAGAACTTAAGCTTCTCTCTCCCTCTCTCTCTTTCATCAGGGAGCTTTTTGTCTCCTCCAAACAAAGCTAAATTCTTGATTAGCATCATAAACAGTACATTTGCATTACAAGCCTTCTCCCGTGTAGCTTTGATCTTCTCGACATTAGTACCAAGCAGCATGTGATGTAATGGCAATAGTTCCAGCTCTATTTGCCCTTCAAATGCAAAGCTGATTCCAATAACTGGCATTGAGAAGCAAGCCAGCTAGAGATTTGTGGTTAGTGCAATTTAAAGTTAGGTTTAATGGGTATGGGTACAGTAGATTTTCTTGGACCGACTCCTGATAGACAGGGAATAAACAATGGCAGTTTTGTTAACTAAGCCATCAGACTGCTATGCTGGTGATTTTTGTGTTAGTCTATGAGTCTGTACTAGTCCTTCCTGTGTGAGGGGATGTGACTGTAAAATGGAAGCCAGTCGTTCAGCATCAGATGCAGTAACACAGCAGAACTGGATAGATGGCTATTTCATTGATGCAGCACCATAATCTTCCATCAAGTGCTTTCTCATTCTCCCAAATTCAACCCAGGCATCAGGAACAATCCTGTGAGTGGGAGGACAGTGTGGCAGAAACACAGTGTGAGTGTTTCTGTCTTCATCTTTGTGTTCAATCTCATTTAAAAAGATCAGCATGATCTTGCTTCAGTGTAATTTTGAGTTAAAAGTGGTTGTATCATTACTGCATCTGAAGCCTGGGATCTGAGGGATGCACATTTTGTCCGTGTCTGTTGGTCAGTTTAATGGCATCAGCTGCAAATGCGCTCAAACCCCTCTTCATTTGCTCTCTTTAAATTGTCCTAGAGAGCAGTTAAGTGACTCTGATTGTAGTATCTGGAAAGTAGACGTGCACTGTGATGGCTTTCTGTGGGTGTTCAACTCAAAGCCTCCATGCTGCCAAGAGGAAAGAAGAGCAGAACATATGAAAATGTGGTGTGGAGAGACAGGTTTATTAAAAGCCGTTGCAACACAAAATAGCATCACTGAGCTTGATGACTTAATCTCCTCTCCGCTTTTATTGATCACTTTATTATTTAAGGTAGGATTGATAGCAGGATACATTGGATTTCTAATTATGAGTCGCCACCTTGGAGAATTGAGCCTGTTGAGCTGCTTTGAGATGATTCCTTTCCCTTCTCCCCCTATAAAAAAATGTCTCTTCCCAAGGCTGATAAACACAGCTTGGTGATTGGCCCTCAATGGATCACTCCTTAGAAAATGAACTGTCAACCCCTTGCCCTGGTATTGATTCTCCTTAGGATCGGCCATAAAGCTGTCAGAGGAGAGGCTGCCTGGAGCCAGGTGCTGACAGACCTGCTGGGCTCAGACAGCTCTGCTCAGGCTGTCTGCTCGCTGCTCTCGGCCCACCAGTGTGCAGAAACACAAAGGAGCACAGGGCAGGTGGGCAGCAGGGATAAAAGCCCTGTCCAGGCACTGGTGGCAGTGAGATAAAAGCATCCTGGTGGCCATGGGCTCAGGAATGTCCTGTGGCTCTGCACTGGTATCTCTCAGAGAGGCCATGGAAGGGGAAAGACAGAGCAAGGGGAATGAAATATTAGGACAGTGAAACTACTCTGTGCATAGTAATGTGTGGTGCCTTGCTAATTAATAGCCCTCAATACACAGCTCTCCAGTAGCTGGAAGTAGCTCTCAATAAACAGAATCTACTTTAACATTCAGTTACTCTAATGATTTTAACCACTATCACAGTGTCATTTAGAGGTGTGGACTTTAGGGATATTTCATGATGTTCCTATGCCAGCAGAAGTTAATAGCAAAATAATTATACTTTGTTCCAAAATTACTTCAGATGAGAAAAAGCTTTTCTGTCCAGACAGTCCCCATGAGAAGGTTTTGTAATCTAAGCATGACCTAAAAGTCATATTTGTACAATCAAATGTGTGCTTTGGCCTGCAGACACGGCCTCTCTGTATCCATGAGCCAAATGTGGGAGCTGGGCATATGCTGTGGGTGCCCGCTTTTGTACACTGGGTTATTACTGGTAATTTAGCCTCACGCTTTTGTCAAGATAGTGTTCAAATCCCTAAATTCATCTTTACAGCAGAATTAGTCAAAGGACTTTGCCTTCAGGCAGCTCGAGCTGTTTGGCTCTGTCCTGTGACGCGAGGACCAATCTGCCTAATGTTCATTGAAACTTCCTGGGGTATGGATGGGGACGTCCATGGAGCAGCAGGCAGGACATGGTGTGGGTGTTCCTAAACCCTGCTCTGAAGAAATGCTGAGGGAAATTGCAGCATCTCAAAATGAGTGGTAAAGGATTCGGGGAAGTGTAAAACACAGAGAGAGAGACACCTTCTAAAAAGGCTTGTGTGGAGTAAGATGGTCTGACCAAATCCTCTGTTCATCTGAAAGGTTCTCTCAGAAATTCTTCCAGCTGATAGATTGGTTTATCTTTGCTCTGCTGACACATTTGCCCACCTTTTGCCAGTGGAGTTGGAGCAGGTGCTCTGCCAGCCCCTCTTTGTGTGGGAAGGAGGAGGTTCGAGCAACCAGGTCCTGCTGTTTCACCTCAGTGCCTGCTAATTCCCCCTGCTGTTAACTCCTCTTCATCACCAGCCCCACCTGTAGCTCTGCCTGTCTCTGACCCCTGCAGTTCCTGAAAGCTTCTGTGTTCTTTTCTTGAATGCCGGCTCCTTAATCAGCACTGCCAAAATCGCTGTAATTAGGGGATTCGGGTCTGTGACAAAGGCTCCCTTCTGGCACTCAGGTGAGCTGCCCCAGAGGCAGCCCCAGCCCGTGTGCCCCGTGGCTTTGGGGCTCCTGGGCTGCTCTCCAGGACAATGGCACACAGCAGTGTCCTGCCCAAAACCAGGCAGGAGAGGTCAACAGGTGACACGGTGAGAGGTGGAAGTAGGTAGTTAGTTTAGAAGGTATTATTTAAACTTAATAAGCTACAATTACATTGCTTGAACAGTAATCCCTTTGTTTCCCTTCACTTTTTGCTGTTTTTGAGTTTCAGTGGGGGAAGGTTATTTTTTAATCTGTTGTGAGGGTGCTTGTACTTTTTAAAAATAAGATAAAGAGAATTTTTTTTTATACTTAAAATGCTTTCATGCCAAATCTGTTTGCATTTTGTATTTCCCATCTGTGCCTGAACATTAATAAAATTAATTTGAAGGATCCTGATTAAAATGCAGAATCTTCTTTTTCCCTTTTTTTTTTTCTTTTGAGAGAAGTTGTAGAATACCTGAAACCATCTCTGCAGTCCCCTTAGCTGGCCTGGTCTTTTGTGGCCTTAGGTGAGATTTGTGCTGCCTCTTCTTTCTTACTCAGTTCAGTAGCTGGGAGCAGAACACCATCCCATTATTTCACTCGGCTCTGTTATACCAGTGCTGGAAGTTCTGGGGCAAATAAATTGTTTAAATGGATGTTTGGGTCCAGTGTGAGTTTTAGTAATGCTTTTCTTGTGATTGGAGCCATTTGTGTTTCAGTTACTTGTTTCAAGAAAAGAAGCCCCCACTGGGTTATGGTTGGATGTGTACCTTCTTTTTCTGTCTGAACACAAGTCTTGTCAATGTTGGGAGCTGTGACACCTGGTTCAAAAATCAGCTTATTTTCACATATCAAACAGGACTTTTTTCCTTCTGTTTCACAGTTAATTTATATTTTTTTTATTATTGGCATATTGTGTTGTATGACCCAGCAGAAGGACAAGGCTGGGAGATGGTCTCCCAGCTGACAGCAGTGGGAAGCTGCCATTCCCCACGGGGCAGGTGCAGAGTGGGAAGTGAGATGCTTTTTGCTAAGGGGCAGAGGGGTTTTGCTGACAGGAGAGGTATGGTAACACTCAGGGAGATTTGCTGCAAGTCAGGCTCTCAGTTAGATCTTCTCCTCCTGTTACCTGGGAGTTTTTTGACCCTTTTAACTCTTGTCTCACAGGTTTTTGTTGTACCTGCTCCCATTCTCCTCTTGTCCTTATTCCCCATTCTCAGCCTGTTAATTAACCCAGTCTCACCCTGGCAGGCCTGGCTGTCCCCTGCCCCGCTCCAGGCAGCGGCTGCACATCGCTGGCAGTGCCAGTCTCACCTCCTGCTCTCCAGGTTTGGTTCCTCCTTCTGCCTTCCCTCTTCTCTGCACCCCAGCCTCTTGCCAGACAGCTCTCCTGTTCCCAGGAACAGGAAAGCTGAGAGTAAGCAGCAGTAAGCCCTTCTCTTCAGCAGTGTCTGTTCTGTGCTTGGTTCTGAGCATTGGCTGAACACCTGACGTCCAAATCATTTCTCTGCATCTACATACCACTGGGTGCTGGGCAACTTCAAATTGAAAAAACTTCAAACTGCATGTTTGGCTGAGCAGGCTCCTAAATGTCCTCCCCAACGGAGTAACTTCTCTTATTAGCTTTTCATAGTGCTCCTTGTCCATTGAAGCTGAAAGCTGAACTAATTAAATGCATAACTAGATTACAATATCACAGGTGTAGGTGTAGAAGTAGTAATCTACAGAATTAACATACTCTGCTATGGTACTGCCTCCAGTTCAGAGAGTTAGTAGAGCTCTGCCATCAGGAGTTCTTCAGCCCCTTCAATTAAGCAGCAGTTAAAACAATAAGCAAAATCCTTGGGATCTTAATTTTTGATGGTCAGGGTTGGTGTTTTTTCTTTTTTTTTCTGCTGAGATCCTGATTTCTGTGTTAAGAGACTTGTTTCCACTTTTAAACTTGCAGTTAAATAAGTGTATTGATGTTGGCATTTGCCTAATGATGTTTGAAAGTCAATCTACCAAAACACCTCTGTTGCAGCATTTAAATCCCTGTGTGGTAGGGCTAAAAAGCAATTTGGGCCCTCAATTGCAAAAGTAAGTTTGAAGCAAAAAGTAGCCGAAGCACAGATTTTTATTTTTTTTTTTCCTTTCTTTAAATGCTGAGATACAAATAGATTTGTGTTTCCTTTGATGTCAATAAGATGTAGTGGAGGAGTGTGAGGATCCTCCTGGCCTGGTTGTGTGTTGTGCCATGCCTGGGGCAGGTGCCAGCAGCTCAAGTCTCTGCAGGTCAGGACGACCGAGCTTGTTTCAGAGTGAGATCCTTATTTTGAACTCACAGGCTGTGTTTTGTTCTGACAGGCGCAGTAAGTACAGCAAGGCAAAGCAAGAGGCAGATGAGGAGAAACACTTGAACCAAGGTAAAGGGCCCTGGTGCTTGGGGGCTTTGGTTTGGGTTGTAAAACATGGCTCATGTTCTGGTGCTCGGGAAATAAGGGATTGCATTCCTCTTGAGGCAAATAGGTTTCTGGTTTTCCCCTCTCCTTCCCCAGGTAAACATCCTGCTTCAAAATTTATTTATTCTAGTAACAGGGAAAATAGAAGTATCTGGGTAAAATGTTTTGAGGGTACAGACAGGAGGAGGGTCTATCAAATTTTTCCATTTTTCCTTGCCATTCATTTCAAGACACTTGTCCTTAGCCACTTGATTTCTAGACAGTGTTTTTCCCCAGAACACCCTGCTAAAGCAGTTTCTGAATGGGCCAGATGCAGTCCTGCAGGAAAAGGAATGTGAACTTTGCTGCCTTTTTTCCAGCACTGAATCCTATTGTTACTTCCATGCACCAAACCCAGGACCTGAGCTCAGAATTTCCTGGCTCCCATAGGAAAAAGAGATATGTTTTAGTCTCACAGGTCCATGACAGGCTATTCCAGCCATGGCAATGATTTGTGAAGCTCATTAATTGGCAAAAGCCTGATTCCTTACATCAATATTGGGAAATATTAAATGTTTACACTTTAAAATATTGCACTGGGGGAAAAAATACTTAAGTCCTTCCTTCCTTATCAGTCATTCCTGGCTTACAGTACATTTTTATTGTACACTCTCTTTACTGTTGTATATCATTAAGGCTTCAGTCTCATATGTTCTGTGTTCAGCAGCATGTAGATCAGTGACTTCAAATAAAACATTTCTGCCTTGCAGGTGTTAGAACATATGTGGATCCTTTTACATATGAGGATCCAAACCAAGCTGTGAGGGAATTTGCCAAAGAAATTGATGCCTCCTGCATAAAGATTGAAAAAGTTATTGGTGTGGGTAAGTGCCAGAACTTTTGCATTTTTTTCTGTAAATACACTTTTAAATTTGCTTTTGGGGAACGTGTGATCCTTTGATTTTTGTATGACAGTTCTCCCAAATGTACTGACACAACAGTTTGACAACACAAGTGCATGCTTCAGGCTTGTGACCATGGATTCTTGTGCCTTCTTCTTTAAGGGGAGTTTGGTGAAGTGTGCAGTGGACGTCTCAAAGTGCCGGGAAAAAGAGAGATCTGTGTTGCTATCAAGACTCTAAAAGCTGGTTACACTGATAAACAAAGGAGAGACTTTCTGAGTGAGGCCAGTATCATGGGACAATTTGACCACCCCAATATCATCCACTTGGAAGGTGTAGTTACTAAATGTAAGTAGGTCATTTTCATGACAAGTCCAATTTGGAAGTCACTGAGAAATTAAGTCTGTGTGGTGTGTGCTGGCTTTTTTTTTTTTTTCCCTTCTTACCATCTTTCCTGTAAAATGACAGATGGAACAGATCCACTGATAGCTAATAGGAGGAAATCAGTGCAGGACAAGTCATTAATCTTGTTGTCAGCTATAAATGGGTTTACAGTTTCAACTGATACTCTATCTGTAGGCAGCTTGTACAAGATTTTGTAGAAGGAATTAATACTGCAGGGGTTGGCTTTTTTTTTTTATCCCTTCTTGCTATGCCAAGCAGGCATCTTTCACATCTTTGCTAGACTGAGATGATTGTTAGAGGATAGGCAAAAGCAGATGGTGAGCGAAGAATTCAAAATGATGGGGGAAAAATACCAAAACAAAACTCCACAGTCATATGTTTAAAGTACAAAGCACAGATGTAAGGAACAAGCCTTTGAAATGAAGCAGGTTATTTTAGTGTGAAACTTGCTTATTTGTTTTCTCTGATTTACAGGTGTGCTAATTTCACTCTGCAGAATTTAGCTGGACAATCATTTTGTTTGCTTGGTTTGAGGTTTTTCAAGTCTGAGAGTGTACCCTGTGCCTTAGAGAGTGCCAGTGCTTGCTGGGTGCTGTGTGTAGGCGAGAGCTGGAATGCACCTGTCAGACACCAGTGCTTGGGTCTGACCTGAGGAGGTGCCATGGCCATGGTGTAGGTATTGTCTCTGCTCCAGCTGCCCTGGGTAGCATGGTGGCTCTGCTTGCTAATCCTAAAAGACCCCTCTGGATGTTGGGGCTCATGCTCAGGGTGGTGTAGAAAGCAGGCAGTGATCCTGTGAGCTGCTGTCAGAGTGGACTTTCTGAAGCTCACCTTCTGCAGCCTGAGGAACATGAATGCAGGGTATTAATAGTGGGAGCAATGAAAATTCGAGATGGATGAAAAGTTAAAAAGTAAAATATCACTAGAAGAACAAAGTACCTCTCATAGAGGGTTATCAAAACCATCAGTTCCACTGTAAAACTGTCCCTCTTGAATGTCAGTGAGAGCTGATACTTACTCTGCCACTTTTGTTTCTGGAAATCTTACCCCTGCTCATTTGTGTTGCTGTCTCCTGGTCTGCCTTCTCTCAAAAGTTGAACATGTCTCATACAGTGTGTGGCAGCTTGCTTTTAAAGGCAAAGAGCAGTTTGGACTAATTTTGGCCATCCTTCACTGAGAGCCTCCCTGAAAACTAAAATTAAAATACAGTACTCTGTTTAAATTTGGCAGGTCTGAGTGTCTGTCTCTGCGGCTGTTAAAACAAAGGGGAAGAGGGTTGTGATCAGGCCACAGTGTTTGCCTCAGACAGTGATTGTGTCAGCACCTCAGTAAAAAAAGACAGCAGGGGGATCTTTGTGTTGAAATCCCACTGAGGCTAGAAGCCCCTGAGCTGCTACAGCTCCAGCACTTATAAATGACCGTAGACATTTGCATAATGCAGTTGTCAGTGAATTAAAATGATTGGGAATTTTCAGTGAGGAGGTGGCAGTGTGACCTGGGAGTGCTCCGTTCCTGGCTCCCAGTAAGCGATGCTCCGACACAAGCCGGCTCCGTTACCTCCGAGCTGCGCTCCTGGGGAAACGGGGCTACTTGAGAACACATTTATCTCCATTTCTCCATAGGTTTTCTGAATGCTGTGATAAATGAATGCATTTAATAAACTGAAAATTAAAATGTGAGATAAATAGCGGTATAGATGGGGGTTGAGAGAGGCAGCAAAAAACCATGAATAAATTATTGGCTGCTAGTCAAGTACTTTAATAATTGACTCGCTGATGGTAACTTCTCCCTCCTCTCTCTATCCCCCCTCCCCTGCTAAAGAAGTGCCTGAGTAATGAAATTACATGTTAATGCACTAAAAGAGTCATCTTTTTTTCCCTTCTACGTTGACATAGTATCTTTTGATTGAAGAAGGTTAATTAATACTCATTTAGCTGTATTTGTTCAGTGGAAGGGTTGCTGTCGCAGTTGCAAAGCGTAAATGAAACAGTGCCATATGCAGATTTGGTTGAAGTTTTTCCTCTTTCTCCCACAGAATGCTTTCAAAGGTGAATTAGAGGGAGGATGATGTTTTATTACATCCTTTTACTTAAGGATGTGCTCAGCCAAGGTCACCTAGCCCTTCATCCAGAGCACTTTGCTTTATGCAATACCCTTGCTTCTCTGCAGCATTCAATAATGGCATTTCACAGGCATGCCAGCTTGCATGGGACCAAAACAGTAAAAATTTGGATACCAGCAGAGAAGAGAAGTAAAAGCAGGAGGAGTAAAAGGCCTGTAAAGGATGTGCTGGAACCAGAAAGGTGAAATAAGTAATGATGAGTGAAATAAGTTATGTACCGCACATAGATGTTGGCCTAAGTGGAATGTGGTAAAATGTTCCAGTCAGTCCTTATGGCATATGGTTTTCTAATTAAAAAAAGGTTACTTCAGAACCAGAACTCCCTGACAAATGAAGAGGAAAGAATCTTGGTGAAAGATGCACTGAGGTAGAAACTATTAGGGAAACTTTAAATGCTGCAACATTTCACGGTAGGGTAATTTTAGAGATGGTTGTTCTGGAGCAGATCCTTGCTGGTGACAGAAACAAGGAAAAATTAAGTAGTTCTGATACCTCCTATGCCGAAATGCAGTTGAGCTTTTTACAGTCTAGGTGACCTGGCCTTTGAAGCCTTCTTTCTCTATAATGTTCCCTTATTCAGACCTGCTCCAGGAAGTAAAAGCTGAGTTTCTCTGGGACATCATCTTTCATTTAGGAAGAAAGCTCTATAGTTCCTGTAGGTAAAGCATGAGAGAGGAGGGTTTGCTGTGCCAGACAGCTCTGATTGTCAGGTGCTTATTTTAATGCTGCTCATCTTGGGACTGGGCTTTTGCCATTCAACCTTTGATGAGTTACTTGTGTACTTCTGCCACTGCTCTTCTGAGATCTTATCAGACCTGTTTCTACAAATACCTGTATGCCAAATATGGATTTAACTCCATGAAATAATTAATGTTCCTTGTATGCACCTATATGTTCTCAGTTTCAGCACTGTATGACCTTTATAAAACTCTTAAAGACAACATCAATCATTAATTGTGTATTTGCTGTTGTTTTAGGCAGGAGAGTGCCCAGAAAGCATCCCCCTGTCAGGAACACGGCATTTCTCCTCCGGTTGCCCAGCCTGGCCCCTGTTGCAGCACGGGGAGCTGGGTGCTGCTGGGCTCTGTGCCCCATGTGTGACACAGGACACTGAATCGTTTTGCCCCCGGCTGATTTCAGAAGGCAAATGGCTTTGGCTCGTTTATAAAAAACGAGAGATGCAGAATACAAATTCGGGACAGAGAAGGTTGAGAGGAACATCCTGTGTTTTTCATTGTTGAATCCAGTTGTCTTGGAATACCTTGTAGCTCGTGGCAGCTTCCAACTTGCCTAAAGCACTGATCTTTCAAAAAAGACAGAGACCAAAGCACTCACAAATTCCATTTTCTGCTCTGCAAGCAATTTATTACACTAAAGGTTTTTGTCAGGTTTGGACAGATCTTTGTTTCTTAGTTCTCAATTATCAATTCACATATTCCTTAGAGAACAGGAGCCACTTTACTTAAAGACCTTGTCAATGAGTCAACCAAAGGGTTAACCTTCCAGATGGGCCCTTTAAATGTTTCTGTCCTATAATATTTCATCTCTTGCTCCCCACAGCTGAGGCATAAGCTCGGTGCTTTTCAAATTAAATTAGATTGTGTAAGCCAGGTGTCTTGGCAGTAAAATCATGTGCAAGCCATTTTTATCCCATTAACATTGGCGTTCATCAAGGAATTGTGTTTTTCTTTCTGTGCACTCTAGGTAAACCAGTAATGATCATAACTGAGTACATGGAGAATGGTTCCTTGGATGCTTTCCTCAGGGTAGGTGATTTCTTCAAAAGCTAAGGAGATTTTATACTGGAAAACATTTTCTGTTTTTCTTTCTTCCTTTTTTTTCTCTGAAAGATACTGAAACTTGTGCACTTTTAAAAAAATTATGTTAGTACTTGGCAAATTCTGTTTTCTGGTGTTGCTTCTGTCAAAAATCAGAACAAATATAAAGTGGAAGAATATAAAATAAATTAATTTTAAAAATAGCAGGATCTTAAATAATCCATGTTTAATGTGAGCAGTTCTGTCTCGCTCCATTTTTGAAAGCATTGCAGTGCTGTAGACTCATTAAAATCAAATTCATTTCAAGTGGGATACTGCATCACTGAAAGCAGTGACAGAACCTCTGGGTTTTTGCTTTACTGGTGAATTATAGACACTGGTGAGGAGAGTGAGGAAATAACACTGCATTTAACTTGAGAGATGGGAATCCACACCTCTGCTCTTTGCCAGTTTCAGCAGTGGCAATAATATAGCTTTTAGCTTAATGCTCTGTGATCTTGGTCCTTTCCCCATATGCAGAAGAATGATGGCAGATTCACAGTCATCCAGCTGGTGGGGATGCTCCGTGGCATTGGCTCAGGGATGAAGTACCTGTCTGACATGAGCTACGTGCACCGGGACCTCGCTGCTCGCAACATTCTGGTCAACAGCAACCTGGTCTGCAAAGTGTCTGATTTTGGCATGTCCCGGGTCCTGGAGGATGACCCTGAGGCAGCTTACACCACACGGGTGAGGAGGGAAGGAAAATGGCCATGATGTCGTGCCTGCACCTTGGTTTTGTCTGACTGTGTGGAAGGTGACAGTGGTTTGTTTTAAAAGGGTCTCAGTCACAAGTGAAAAATCACTAAAATCTCACCCAAAAGTAAGCATTGGCCCAGGCTCACCTGTAAATTGATGTGCTGTTGCTGCTACAGCAGTGGCCACAGCAGTATTTCTTTTCTGAGGATGTGACCCATGTACTCCTCTTGTTCCTTCACCATGATACAAGCACCTGACAGGAATCTGATGCCAGAAATTAGAGCCTGGACTTCTGTTCCTTCTGCTGTCTACAAACATGGTTTCCCAGTGGCTGGTCCTACTCATGTTTGATACAGCAGTTATAGACACACCACAAAAAAGATAAAAAAGATGCATCCACTTTTGCCCATCACAAAGCCAGTCATAAATTTGACCTCAGTAATTTGGACTGGGAAAAGTATTAGGCCTGCATTCCCATTTTTTGTTTCTTTCCCATTTTATCTATATTTCAGCATCCCACTGTTAGGTAATTTTGCTAAAGCCATTTTAATATGCTGCACATGGAATAGGGCTAATGCAAGTTTTCTGGCCACAAAACAACATCCCAGCCATTACCAGCCTTTGTACCAATACCTCTAATATCAAAATGCAATGTAAAGAGAAAAGCGCCCGTTTACAAAGTCTCCTTTTTTAATTGCTTATTTTCTTCGTTTTTAAATATCTGCCATTCTCCATCTGTTCTCCCTAGTGCTGAGTTTGTTTGCAGCACTCAGATCTTGCTGTTTAATCCCAACACTCATCCTTTAATGGATTCACAGCTCATTACAGGAAAGGATAGACTCCTGTAGTATTAAATGCTGGCCAGCCTTGGTATCTCTCACTCATAAGGGTGGCAAGTGGAAGAAGCAGAAGCAGAGGTCTGAAAAGCTATACTCAGGGAAATCAGAGTTTAGACAAGCACACAAGGGCAAGACAGAAATGACTGAAAAGCTTCCTTTTGAATTTAGCAAGTGGAGATATGGTATTGTTGGCTCTCAGGAGTAAACTAGAGAGAGCCAATGACATTTGCTTTACAGTCATTGTCTTCATTTGGTATCAGTAATGAAAGATCAGGAATATTTGGATTAACTCCACTGTGCTCAAGCAGCTAAATATAAAGAGCTTATTGACAATTTTTAGAATGACAACCATGTATAAACAGTGTTGGTGCATCTGTGTCTGAAAGGAGGAATAAAGCTTTTGCATAATCAGAGAGGCTGCAATAGAATGCAGTTTTTAAAGCAGCATTTTTTAAGAGAATGATGTGTTCTGCTCCTGTTAGTAACTCAGTAAAGTGAGAGCATCTTGTAGTCACCAAGGCACATATTGCCACAACCTGATTCATAAAGGGCTTTATGCGAAGGCTGAAGTATCCAGGAGAAGGACCCCTTTTGATTTCCCTTGGCTTTGGAACCAGGCCATATTAAACACTTGAGAGATAAAGTAGAACAATATACTGTTAAGTATGCACACACTGCACTCGGTTATGGATAAAAGCTATCTAGGAGATGGATGGAAAAAAACCTACCAAAATAAACTTAATCAAAAAAGCATAAAAGCAAATGAAAAAAACCCCGAAAACCTTTGTTCGGCTTAAGTCATTCCCCAGATGGAACGGCAGGAAACCGAAAGCTCAATTAAAAACACCTTGCATATTAGCATAAACAAGAGGAGAAATCTCTGGCCTGGGATCACTCAGCTAAGGCAAAATCAGAAAAACAGGATGGAGTGAGCTCCTTTTTAAGCAGTGTAGGACCTCAGTGGCCCAAATCAGATGGCCTAGTGGTTTTTTTTGTTTAAAAAGGAGTATTGTAAGAAGAGGCAGCTTTGTCCAACAGGTATCAAAAGCAGCCTTGTACCCTGGTTTGGTGTTGAACTCCTCCCCCAGGGTCTGGGAGAGCCCAGAGGCTTGCTTGCCCTCTCACATCTCTGGTAGGAGTTGGGATATTACCCACGGGAAACACCACTGTGTTCATAAACCTTTCCAGTTCATCCTCTCTTTATTTTACCTTTTTGAAAAGTGAAATGTTTATAATCCCATTTTTCTGAAACAGGCCAGACAGGTCAGACAGGCAAGCAAGGAAATAGTAATTAACAGCACGTAATTATTTGTTTTGTCAACTAAATCTCTAATATATACTTTGTAAAACCCCTGGCTTGTTCTCAGGCTTCAGCATAGCCCAAAGCAGAGATCTCTTGGAAGGCTGATAAAAATACATTTAACAATTTACTGGTTCGCCTCCTCGTGACTAAAGAAAACAGATGGGCAGCATTGCCTCCTGGTTGGATCTGACAGCTTTGTGGCAAGCAGGAGAGAAAGTGGATGCGTTTTTGAGAAGGGTTCTGGAGTTGTACACAAAAAAAAACCATTTTGTATTTTGAATGTGTAGAACGGTGTCAGGCACGCACACTGCTGTATCAGTGACTCACTAGGCTGTGGTTCCTTTGCTTGGTGGCAGGGTGGCAAGATCCCCATCAGGTGGACTGCTCCCGAGGCCATCGCCTACCGCAAATTCACCTCGGCCAGTGACGTCTGGAGCTACGGCATCGTCATGTGGGAGGTGATGTCCTACGGGGAGAGACCCTACTGGGACATGTCCAATCAAGATGTGAGTCTCCTGCTGAGCTTCCCCAGCATTTTCTGTCCCTTCCCCTCCCCATGCCTTTATCTTTGTCCTTAGGTGACTGCTGGTGTGTTCCTGTGGAAATTGCTATATGGCTACAAGATGTTTATTCCAGGCTTTTAAAAGGATATCATGGGTGGTAGACTCCTGTTTTCTCAGGGAACCTCTCTGGAACTAAAGTTCCTGGAGTGCTTCAAGCTTTGTCTAAGCTCATGGACTAGGGCATTCTCAAGTTAGGGTCTGTACTTTTTGTATGGGGTTTATTTGGTTTGGTCTTTCACATTTGAAAAAATAGGAATTAAAGAAAAATGGAGGAAAGGGAAACTAATGTATTTAAACTGTCAAATCGTAATACTGTCAAGAGAAGGAAGATTTGAATGTTCATATTATATCTTGAGCTTACTGAATGGCTTTAAGAGAAAAACACTTAAATTTGGCTTCCTATTGGTAGTTGATTCTTGAAGCTCCACTATGCTTATAACTCTTGCAGTTGATTTTATTTCTTGTAGGATATCTAAATCAACACATAGGAAATCCAATTCTGATAATCAGTCAGAGCATCCTTGTGACAATGGCATAGCTGCCCCCTGAGGGCATTTAAAAAGCGGCTTTTGTAAATGACCATTCTTAAATTATGCATGTCCTGTTTAACCATACCATCTGGACTATTTCAGTGTGCTCCAAGAGGGACCTTGCACAATGGCTGCTGTTCCAGAAGAGTATTTAATAATAATGCTAATAAGAGCTTTTGCTAATAGAATTTTTATTAAATGAAAAAAAAAAAATCCCAATGAAAATGAGGCCTAGATTATCCATAATTCTTTTCCCAAGGGATTTACAAGCAAATAAAGGAAGAAGAAAATGGTAATCTAAATATACAGCCATGGGAGTGGTTAAGGCGTTTTACAAGTCATCTTCTTTCTTCTGTAGGGCTGAACATTTTCAAAGAGTGTCTAGATGTGGATGGCATTTAATCTAAACGAGGGATATAATTTTAATTTCCTTCTGATGTGAAATGTCTCTTCTGGCACCCAATCTTGCCTTCCTTTTGCTAACAGGAAGTCATCAAGACTTAGCAAGAAAATAAAACGCCAGATGTGTCTCGGTTATATCAGGCATGTCTGCACAGCACAGTGGAGCTCACTGCAACAAACAGAGCTGTTTTTATTAGAGCTGTTTATGTTAGGCTGGTGTTCACTGCGACTGTGCACTGCTAGACCATGTTGAAAAGCTGGCTTGAACAAGACAGGGAAAGCCAATATTACTGTCTCGGCACACTCTTTACAGTCCGTAGCATAGACATGCCTTTTCTCCTCTTAATGATGGCAAGAGCAGTGCTTCTCACAGCAAAGCAGAAGTGGATCTCAAATTATACTCAGTGTCTGTTGAATCAAGAGAAATCAAAAGGATCTTCATGCTTTCCGCAGGAGTGAGGGCCACTTTGTTTGTGGTCACCCAACAGCTGCTAATAATGCAAGTATATCCCTCACCTTGTCCTCCCAGTGGGTTTTAGCCACTAATTGGACAAGTCCAGAAGGAGGGAATTTAGTGCAGCTCAGTCTCTGAGCACTCCTGGTCTCATGGTGAGTCCTGCCAGCAGTGTCATATCGATTAATTCAGATCTGAAGGCTCCTGGGTCATGTCCCTGTCGTGTCAGAATTGAGATCTGGTCATGTCCCATTCTCCTGAGAGAGCTAAGAAGCCATTAGAGTCTCTGGAGTGCTTTTTAGAGGGTTTGAAGTGACTTCAGTCTGAGTTTCTCTGGGTTATGTTAAATATGAAATATCTACTTAAGATGTGTTGGACTTTTGTGAAGCTGCACAGAAGGGTTCCCATCTCTGCATCTCTTGGCTCGGAGCATCCAGCAGTGAGCAAACAGGTTCTCCGTTGCTTGTTTCTGACAGAGATGAGCTAGCCTGGGAGGACAGCGGGAAGGGAGTGATCTGCTGTACCTTAAAAATTATGGGGAAAATATAGTCTCATTTTGCAATATTGCACCCAAAACTGACTGATGGTAAAGACTTGCTGTAGAGCTTCTCCAGCTCTCTGTCCAACGAAGCTAGCTGCTTATTTCTAACCAGGGCTCTTCTGGCATCCAGCATCCATGTATCCCATGTGCTTTTTTTTGACAAATTGCCCTGCCATATCTGATGTCTACTCTGGGTGCTGTACCCTTTCAGTTCTGAATTGCTGAGGAGAAATGACAGTTCTGAGACCACCAGCTGTCTGAGTCCGAGAGCAATTTTCCATGTTGTATCACTTAATCGGGGATTTGTCACCATAGTCTGGATGGCCCTGGGATAAATGGTGCTCAGCTGGCAGACTGAGCAGTCTGGGGCTCTCTAATGTCTCCTAACTGTGCCACTTGCAGGTGATTAAAGCCATCGAGGAAGGGTACCGGCTGCCCCCGCCCATGGACTGCCCCATCGCCCTCCACCAGCTGATGCTGGACTGCTGGCAGAAGGAGCGCAGCGACCGGCCCAAGTTTGGGCAGATCGTCAACATGCTGGACAAGCTCATCCGCAACCCCAACAGCCTGAAGAGGACAGGCAGCGAGAGCTCCAGGTCAGCTGTGCTCTCTGGTGGTGACCAGGGGGCACAGGGGAGGTGGCACAGAGGGCAGGGGGCACACACAGTGCAGGGGGTACACACACAGTGCAGGTGGCACACACACAATATAGGTGGCACACACAGTGCAGGTGGCACACACACAATATAGGTGGCACACACAGTGCAGGTGGCACACACACAATATAGGTGGCACACACAGTGCAGGTGGCACACACACAATATAGGTGGCACACACAGTGCAGGTGGCACACACACAATATAGGTGGCACACACAGTGCAGGTGGCACACACACAATATAGGTGGCACACACAGTGCAGGTGGCACACACACAATATAGGTGGCACACACAGTGCAGGTGGCACACACACAATATAGGTGGCACACACAGTGCAGGTGGCACACACACAATATAGGTGGCACACACAGTGCAGGTGGCACACACACAATATAGGTGGCACACACAGTGCAGGTGGCACACACACAATATAGGTGGCACACACAGTGCAGGTGGCACACACACAGTGCAGGTGGCTCTCAGCTCCACAGGGCCAGCCTGCACAGCAGCCAATGCTCTGTGTGGTTGAGCTCTGCTGGCTCTGTGTGGCCCCCGGGGCACCCAGGCTCGCCAGCCCTGCCAAGAGGACAGGGGAGTGGGCAGAGCTGCTGCTGGATCACACCAACACTGAGCAAGTTTTCAGCACAGCATTAAGCACATCCTGATACAGGCAAGCTCTGGTGAAAGGCAAAGTTTGCTGCTTCTTTCCCCTTCTCCCCCCGGTGAAAGGACTTGAACGGGTAGGGTCACCTCAGTCAGTGCAGCTAACAGGAGTGATGTGGTTTTCTGCAGGAAAAGCACATCATCAACTTTCATAAACCCTAGATTTGTGTAGGATTTGCAAATGAGCGTTACAGCATTACAGCCAACGCCTCACGGGCATTGGGAAGGTGTGGATTAATTTTTATGTGAATTTGAATTTAATTTTGTGGAAAGCCAGTTTCATGTCTCCACCGATCCCGCATTACATTTGTTTTGTTTGCTAAGCGTGGTGTACCTGGTACGTGCAAGAGAAGTACAGCAGGAAGGAAACTCCCAGAGTTGTAGGGTAAAACCAAAATATCTTTGTTGGGACAGATCAGCAGTTTGTTTAAGCTGGTGAAACACTGCTGAAGTAATAGGAGCTTTACTGATCTCTGCCAGCTCTGGTCTAGTTTTTTCAAATGTCTCTACTTTGTCAGGTAGATTTGCTTACAACATATATGGAAAAAAATCTTAAAAGAAGCTAGGAAGATAATAGGAAAATGTTTTTTAGTAGGAGGGAAGGTATAAAAATATGCATTAGACAATGCAAAATTAAGTTCCTTGAATCAGTGAGGGGGTAACAGAGATTCTGTATCAGCCTCCAAAAGAATAACATCCTTTTTTAAACTTGTGTGTCCCTTTGTGAGTCTTGCTTACAATGTGTGTCAGCAGAAGAGGGATCATTACCCCTGTGAGGCCACTCACCACGTCTTCCAGATTGCCTTGATTGCACTGGGAGCCTGGCAAAAATGTATCCTCCCTTGAGGCTTAAATAATTTACGTGGTAAGAATCACAGTATGATCTGCTGTGATAATTTGATTGAAGAATCGCAGTATGAACTTCTCCATTTTGCTGGCTTTTCAATTTACAGGTGCTCTTTGAAAATATATAGGTTTTCTAATAGTTAATGACCTGTTCAAGGTCATTCTGTGTGTGTGTGTAAGTTAACAGTCCATTCAAGGTCATTTCACGTTCATGGCTGTTTATAAATATTTTTCTTGTCTTCAGAATAGCAATGTCAAATATGCATATACCATTATTAATACATGACTTTATACATGAAGTATAATTATATATAAATAGGTTACTATCATCGGTCTTGTGTTAGATAATGCAGTAAAAAGTTGAACCAGGCATTACCAGCATGTACTCAATGCCTCAGGCAAGACCTAAGCATGCTATTGCACACCTAGCCTTTGATGATGTGCATTTTCAAATAAATTGCTAAATGATAATTGTTTTGATTAGATAGATAACAGTAATTTATAGTGCTTTAATAGAACTGTGACTTATGATATACATGAAATAATAAATGCAATATTAATAAGGAAAGAAAATGTTGTAAAAGTAATTATTGGCAAAACTGTGCAAGGCAAAATGAGAAGCACATTCCACAGTGCAAACAAAGATCAAAGCTGGTGTGATTCCCGCCACTCCTGGCACACACTCGGTCAGGAATGGATTGATTAAAGAGGGGATTAACTCCCTGCTGTCCCCAGTTTGATTGAATGCACTGAGCAGACCTGGCTAGAAGCAGAAGTTATCTGAACCCGCCCTGAGTTTTACCCTCCAAACCAGTCTGGCAGGGTGTGAGCTCCCAGTTCTTTGCACATACTTCAGTAGTGTTTCTATAGCTGCCGAGCTGGAGGCTGACACATGCAGGGTTGGCAAGGTCTGGCATTGCTGCCCCTGAGATACAGACCCAGCAGGCCAAACGCCTTCCAGCATTGCCATCTTCTTTGTTTCGGGGAGTAAAAACATTTTCTGTGAACTTGGTTGTATCTGAGATGGCAATCATGAGCTGTATTGTGGTTCAAATGAGATCTCAAACCAAAATTAGAAACCTCAGGTCAAATTAATTCTTAGCAAAAATTGGCCCATTACTTTGCATCTTGTTCAGTTTCTGGCATTGATCTGAGCTGATGTGCAGAGCCACCAGTTTCATTGGGCACAGCCTCTTGCCCTTGCTTTCCCTCATCATTGAGGTTAATTGTTGCAGAGACCAAACTTTGGTTTGTGGTTCATGATCCAGCTGACACTATTTCTCTGTCCTTTCACTGTTTGGCATCCAGACCTAGCACAGCCCTGCTGGATCCCAGCTCCCCTGAGTTCTCGGCGGTTGTTTCTGTCAGTGACTGGCTCCAAGCCATGAAAATGGAGCGATACAAGGATAACTTCACAGCTGCTGGCTATACCACCCTAGAGGCTGTGGTGCATATGAACCAGGAGTAAGTACTCAGCAATATAACAAAAAAACTGGTAAATCTGGATTTAATCAGCCTCTTTTGCTCTGTGCTGCATGTCATTACACTCATTAAAGGAATGGAATGCCTTTTATTTGGATGGAGGATAACTTTAAAATGCCTCCACAATGCCTCCACTTATTTAATTAAACATTTCTGTACATCTGCCTTGCTTTTGCTAATGCTGCTTGCGGTTGACTTTTAATATTTTTCTCCGCACCAACATCTGATCCACGGTTCTCAGCCCCTCGTTCTTGCCTTGCTTTCCACAGGGACCTGGCCAGGATTGGGATCACGGCCCTGGCACACCAGAACAAGATCCTGAGCAGCGTCCAAGCGATGCGCACCCAAATGCAACAGATGCACGGCAGGATGGTTCCCGTCTGAGCCAGCACTGAATAAACTCAAAACTCTTGAAATTAGTTTACCTCATCCATGCACTTTAATTGAAGAACTGCACTTTTTTTACTTCGTCTCCTCGCCCGTCGAAATAAAGATCTGCAGCATTGCTTGATGTACAGATTGTGGAACCCGAGCGTGTGTGTTGGGAGGGGGGCCTCCAGAAATGACAAGCCGTCATTTGAAACCAGACCTGGAACAAATTGTTTCTTGGAACATACTTCTCTGTTGATCAATGATATGTAAAATACATGTATCTATATAAATATAAAGTCACATTCAAGTTTTGATGATATGTTTGCTGCCAGATACTGTGCTTAAGAAACAACAGCATTACTTTCCTTCTCCCTGTGACCTGTAGGATTACAACCATAGTGTTTTATTTGTGGGTGAAACCACCGTTGTGTATCTTTCACTGGAATGAAGAACCTGCCCTAGGATATTCTTTGCAGTCTTGATGCATCACTGACACCTTGCAGAAACCTCAGTGAGAATATCGTGTGGCTAATCAGTGCCTGCCAATTAGTGATCTACCTGTTTATGGGCTTGAGACATGAAGTGTCCCACCTTGTGGATTACTGGGCAAAACTGGACTTCTGGGGAGGTTCTTGGCTGTTGTGTCGTGCTGAAGCCTACCATTGAAAGACTTTTGTGACCATCTTGCCAGTAGTCAGCTGTGACAATCGTGGCTGTGGAGCTTTCAGACTTTTCTCTTTCAAGAAACTCGCTCCCTTTACCTCACGGAAGGTCAGTGGAATACAGCGTCCAACGTGTTCATGGTGCTTTATTTTGTGAGCTGTGCTAGGATTTTGTCGCTGTTGGGGGAAAATAAAAGCTGCTGTGGTATGTGTTATTTGGGGTTCCTAACTGGTTTGTAAGAATCTGTGCTGGTTTCCCAGACTAATTGCTGAGCCTTTCCCATTGCTTGCTGTATTTGGTGGCAATGAAAATTGCCCTATCTCAAATTGCTCTCAAGCTGTTGCCTGGTAGGGCATGCAGACAAGGTGTAGGAGTGTCCTGGGGCTCAGCTCAGTGGTGAGAGCTTGACCCCACTTCCCATGGAGAGCAGCAGGCATGCCCTTATGCTGTGGCTGGAAAAACTCAACAGGAATGGATGCCATAGTACAAATACTCATAAATGCACAGGAAGAACCAAAGACTTTTCCTGCACTCTCATGAACAGCAGTAAGAGCAATATTTGGGTTCTAGAAAGACGTGCTTCAGTTGTGGTGTCAGAGGTTTTATGGGAAGGGGAGCAGAAAGAAATGGGATTGTGCATGCAGCCTCTCAGGTTTTGTGCAACGCTGTGCAATGCAGCAGTGTAACAGCTCACACACCATGATCCTGTTAGATCAGTTGTGGGAACAAAATATACTTTGGAAACCAGCCCTGAAGGGTGGGCATCTGGAGTTATCAGGGCAGCTGTGGGTGTGAGTGCCAGGTACAGAGTGCACCCCTCTGCAGGTATGGCCAACAAGATGGAGCATGGGGAAGCTGCCCTCTCCTCCTCTAGGGAATAGATGGAAGCTGAGTGACTGAAAGCATCCCCTGGGCTGCTAGGTCTAGGAGACTGCTATGGCAATGTGGATGTCCTCAGTAGGTCACACAGGATAAAGCTTTATCCAGTAAAGCTCTGAACACACTGAGGCTTGAATTTATGTGTTGTGAAGCTTTTATTACTCTTTTTGAACAAAGTATGTAAATTAGATTCCTTTAAAGTCCTTCTGAGGACCAAAGTGATGAGATGACCTTAGAAAAGAGACGGGCCACACTTACTCTGTGCTGAGTAAGAGAAGGATTTTCATGACATGTCCTTTAGAACTGACACTGCATTTCAGCTGTGCCAGGCACAATGTCAGAAAGGTGACATTTATAGTTTAATGGCACTCAGACTGGTTCTTTAGTCTATAATATTTTGGTCCTACTCCACACCTGACAGCAAAATCAGAAATGATTTAGTGGCTTTATGTGTCAAACTTTCTTAATAATTGAGTTTATCCTAAATCCAAAACAGTTCACTCAGTTGGACAAATCACACATACTGTATTGTCACTCACATCACTTTTTGTCACTTTTAACAATAACTTGCTGATTTTAACCACTAACTCTCCCTCACTCCCAACTCTCTCAGAGAACAACTTGTTCTGAATATGAGATGCTAAATTTGGATGCTGTCAAGTCATGACAGCTCAGTATAAACTGTTCTGCTGTATTACTTATAAAAGCTTTTCCATTTCAAGAACTTTAAGATTTCTTAAAAAAATCTACTTAAACCAGCATGTTTTAATGTCACTTTGCCAGGCAACATAAGAAGCAGTTACTCATTTTAAAGACCTGACATTTGTACTTTCAGCAGGAAAAATTCTTCTGCCTCTTAAGTGCAGAGATACTTGAAGTTTCCTTGCTGTAAATCTGTTGTGTTCTGTTGAGATCATCTTTTTATCTAAAACCAAAATACATCCGATTTTCTGGCCAGTTTGTTAAATTGCTGTCTTGGAGTCTAGTAGTGGTAATTCAAAACAGTGCAATATTTTCCACATAAAATGGAAAACTGTGTCCCTATAGAATGAAAACTGTGAAGGCAGCTCAGATGCTGGGTTTTCAGCACTGCCACTGGTGGTTGTGTTTCCTGTGATAAAATATGGCCAATGAGGGGAATCCACTGGAATGTGATTTTAGCTTGAAGAGAGCAGATGGATGAAAAAAAAAAAGGTGGCCCATGTAAATATAGATAGAAAGATAGATTGGTTGATTACAGATCTGTAGGTAAAGCATGCCATGGGAGCAAGACTTTGAAATAGTGTGAGGGAAGGAAGGACAGGGAAGGCAAAGAGTTCCCACCCTTTGAGCACTGCCATTTGGGCAAGTTTGGGTATCTGTCTTGGTGCTTGTGCTTTAATACATTTAACTTGGGTTCTCTTTTCATGCAGGGAAACGGATTTTGCTTTCACAGCCTCGTAGCCCGTCCTGTTGATCACATTGACCATGGAGGAACACAGACTAGACATGAAGCCTCTGGACCCACAGTTATGTCTTCCATAGCACTGATTCTGGAAAAGGCATTTTGAACAGTCTTTGGTCCCTGAAGAGAGTGTGACTTTTACTTTCTCTTTTTTTTGTTTCCTGGGCCACCCACTCCGTTGTTTTTCTCCACTGAGCGATAACTAACTCGTTAAGACTCAGCACCCAGTTGTCACTTGAGGAATGTACTGTGTCAAATCCCTGCAGACTTCTGGATTTTGATTTTCATCCTCTTCTGCTTTCTCTGCTTACCTTTGGTTTTATTTATATATTTTGTTGTTGTCTCTCCTCATTCCCCTGGCTGTCACCGCTGCATCCCGGACCAATGAAGGTGACAGAGCACTACACATCTTACCATGGACACCAGGCCAGGTGCCACAGCAAAGAACCCAGTTCCTGTGAGCTGCCTGTGTACATTGCTGAAGTGACATTTTACACTAAAGGTGCCATTGCAGTGATATAAATATATTTTTTTCCTTGAATGGATAATGGATCATTATGTCCTCCGAAAGGTGCGTACGTGTGCTTGTGTACGTGTGTTGGCGTGCAGGTCACCTCGTGTGTACAGCTGCCTGTGAGTGTGCCCCAAACACCTCTGGAAACACAGGAGTCCCCTGTCCTATGAGACCAGGCTGATAGCTCAAGTCTGAAATCATAGCAAGAACACACACATTAAAAAGTGTTGAAATTTCTATATCTGTAAGTGTATTTTTTAGCTGCCACACTAACGTTGTTGGGTAATTCTGCAGCCTGAAACCGGCGATTTTGAGTTAGTTTTGGAGTAATGGATTGCAGGATCTAAAAGGGTGCTAAAGGTTTTTGTTAAGTGTTGTTTATTCGTACTAGTGCCCTGCTCATGACCAAGAACAACCAGTTTCTCGGTGGCAAGGTGGTGGAGGCAACAGCTGCATCTCCATCCACTGGTAATCCTGAGCTGAATTCTTACGTAGCCTTTTTTATCTGCAAAAATAGGATTTTAAAGACTTGTTGAATGCTAACAAATATATGCAGTTCTTCCATTCACAGAAGCACCTTGCTCTGTGTGCAACGTAATAATCAGAACACTTCCCTTGTTCCCAGCACAGATAAGGAACAAAAATGCAACAAGACCTGTAAAGTTATAGTTAGCAAGAGTTGTGAAGTGTGTCCTGTTCCTTGTGCAGTTGAAGTGCAGGAGAAGACACTCTTTCTTCCATGGCCCAGGGAGCAGAGCTGCAGCGTACTGATACCACCTAGGAGGGCTTTCTGTGTTTGGAGAGTTCACCCTAGTGTAGTGTGAGGCAGCTGGGGTGGAGCTGAGTGCCTGCACCCAGGGGATGCAGGGCCACCAGCACAGGGCAGGGGACACATGGCATGTGGCCATGTGCCCCAGGTGCTCCCCTGGTGCTCTCCTGGTGCTCCCCAGGTGCTCCCCGGCGCTCTCCTGGTGCTCCCAGGTGCTCCCAGGGGCCGTTCCCTGCCCTAGGACAGGGGCTTGCTCCGGCACACGGATGCACAGCCCTGCCCACAGCTGTGCCATGGTGTCCCGAGGTTGCTCCTGTTTTCCTTTCCCTCCTCGCTGACCCTCTGGTCAGTCCCTGGTTGGGAAGAGGAGTGGCAGGGAGGCCAGGGGAGCTGTGCTGGGGCTCAGGCTGGCACAGCCGGGCACCAGGGCCCGCTGGCTGTGCCCTGCAGGGCTGGCCACGGGCTGGGCCACCACAGGCTGCTCCAGACGGAGCTGCAGACACAGGAAGGCGAGTGTCATGGCACTGCTGCCCTCGGGGACGGGCCAGCGCCGCCCTGGCCCCCACGACGAGTGTGTTCAGTTGTCCTGCTCACACACCAATGGTTGATGTTTGTCCGGGTTTCTTGCTGTGCTAATTTTGTGATGGATCTTATGTATCAAAAATATATATGTATAAAAATACAAAATACAAAAAAAAAAAAAAAAGCTGGTAAGTAACCAGTAAACAGGACTTAAAAAGCAGTATTTTTCTTTTATGTGACATTTTCATAACCAGAAAAAAAGAAAAAATCTGAAATACTAATCAGACAAATAAAAAGAGAGTGCATTTATTTTTTTGTATCACTGCAAGTATGTTGGAATATGCAAGGACTGTGGTTAAAATTAGAATGTATGAGGCATATTATAATTTAGTTCATACTGAAAAAATCTAACAGCATTTCTTGGTTTGTGCATTTGAACGATCTCTGGGTTAGATATATAGATTTTTCTATTTTGTTTTAATTTGTAATTTTTTTCTCCCTCAGTGAATTTTAGGTACACATAACTTATGTCATTTATTTATGGTCTTTTATACCTAGTTTGTAAAATTGTAAAATAGCAAACAATGCAAACATTTGCATTTGAAAATAATAAAGTAGTTGCTGTACAAACCTGAAATGGACTATTTCTAATTATTGCATTTTTTTTTTTTTAATTTAGAGTTTATCCACAACAGATACAGATAGAGAGTTCAGAGTAACAATCCTGGTGTTTGCCCCAAAGGGATTTATTCTCTTCAGCAGATTTCACAGGAATGCACTCCCAGAGTTCATTTGAGCTGTGTGGCTCCTGCACATACCTTAAAGCACATTGCTGTTCCTTTCTGCTGCTCTTCCTTTCACTGGTGTTTGTGGGGTGGGAAGGGTGCTGCAGCCAGACTGACCTTGTTAATGATATCAGTGATACCTCCTTGGTCACCAGGGGCTATTCATGGGCACTGTGCCTCAGAAAAACCTACAGGGCCATCATTTTTCATATTCATGTCTGGGATTGGCTAAGGGATAGTGTCTCTCCCCTGCTCCCCTTGCCTAAGGTCAGATGTCCTTGGCAGAAATCCTACAGCTGTCCTTTGGGCCGGGGTGTCACCTCTCCTGTGGAGGCCTTGCTGCTGAGTTACTGCCCACTTTGCTCAGGGGCTGTGTCAGTGGGCTGGTGTTGGAGACTCGTGGCCAGAGAGGGAGAAGGGGAAAGGTGTCAGGAGCAGCAGAAAGTGGAGAGGGATGGTTTCCCTGGAGGGCCTCCAAGGCACTGAGAGCACAGACATTGTGTAAAGATGTTGTTGGTGTGTGATGGACAGGTGGGTGTGGGCTGTGTCCTGTGGGTACCACGGGTGCTGCTGCCTCTGCAGGGCTGCTGCTTACTTTGGGCTTTTAACTACCCAAAGTACACATGTGCACCGTTCATGGGAGGCAAAGAAACAACAGTGGCTCTTGTAGAATTTTCCTTAAGATTTGGAGCTATTTGAAGAAGATTTTGAACCAAGCTACTTGGGAAATACTCCAGTGATGTCAGTGGAACAGTGTTGTGCAGTGCTGGTGCACAAAAGCCCCGCTGCTAGCACTGGGTGGTTGTGTTTTAAAAGCAAGTTCACCTTCTGTAGCTGGGTGAGGAGGGCAGCCAGCTGGGTGTTTCTGAGGGGCCTGGGTTCAGCCAGTCAGGTATTAAGAGAGAATGTGTCATGGGTGGAGAAACAGATTCCATTTCACACGCACAAAGATGTTTTACAACTTGTTTAGCTTCATTGTGGAATGAAAGATGAACCTTTATATCTTTTTTAAGAGACAACTGTTTCAAAATGTCCATTGAGGATTGAACACTTAGGTCCTTCCCCTCCTTTTGCTGATTCTCTGCTCCCTTCCCCTTTTAGCTCCCAAATCTAAGAAATCATCCTCTAGAAACTTTTTACCCCAATGGTTTAATTTACTTCAAAGTATATGGATTTTTCTGCAAGCTTTCCTGGCCAAAAAGACATTTTTTCTCTCCCTCATTCTTTCCACTTATTTAAACGTGGCAATGAGGCACATTTGTGCTTGCATGAGGCAAGCAAATCTATTTCCACATAAAGCCTATATGTTTGCATTTCATTGATGTTGAACATCCCTGTCCTTGACCTGAGCATGGTGCAGTGTGAAAAACAGACGGTAGACATGTGAGGAGAACCAAAATGTTTTCTGACAATTGCAGAAAAAAAGAAAAAAAAAAAAAAAAAGGCATGTTTTGCTCTAAATCAGCAACATGATTAAAACTAGAGCTGCATTTGAGGCCTTGACCTCAGTTATTTTACCCTTCCCCTTGCAAGGAAGTACCCTTGGGCCATTGACTGATCCTCTATTGAATGGGTTACAGACCCCTGACATATCTTATTTCTGGCAGTGGCCTTGAACATAATTCTTTGTTTATAGGAGCCTCCAAGTAAGTTATATGAATATGTAGACTTTTAAAAGTAAAATTAAAACCTAAAGCATTTCATTCTAATCAGTTTAGTAAAATGTATTCTCCATGGAGAATGGAGAGAGTAGCCACAGGAATATGCTATGTTAATTTACTTTCATGCATATACATGTATTTATACATATGGGACAATTATATCCCAGTAATCTGCTGTGGATTACTAGCCTTTAACCAGTCCAACAAAAGATGATATAAATCCTTGTTTTTATAGTGCTCTTGAACTTACTCATTACTCTCTTCTACAAAATCTTGTAATTAATTAAATGGGCTGAGACATTTTGAGACATTCATTTTTTGAAGACTATTTTTAAAATTAAAACCACTGGTCAGCAGAAAAAAGCCATCATGAGGAACCCAGCTCCTCTCCCATTTCTGACCAGGTAACAAGCCTCCCCCAAGTTCAGTAAGCATTTATAGGTGCAGGTAGGTGCCTACTGCCAATTTTTAATGCTGCTGCTTGGCTAGGGGGTGCAGCAGCTCAGGTGATGAACTCCTGCTTCCCACTTGGATTTTCAGCCTTGCACTAAGCATCCTGCTAATGAAATTAGCAAAACTCCACTCTAATCACCTTTTTCAGAAGCCAACCATCACAGCAAGAAGCCAAGTGAGCTCAGAGGGGCTGGAGAGCTGTGGTGGGGGGACTTGCTGTGCTGCCCTGGTGCCTCTCCTGCCTTGGAGCAATCCATGCCCTGAGGCAGTCTGAGACAGCTGCCTGAGGCAGGTCCTGCTCTTGCTCTTCCTTCTGCCTCCCTGCTCTGTCAGTCCTTCCTCCCCAAAACAGTCTCTGGGATGGTGGAACACAGTGTCCTGCCTCCTCCTCAGCAGCCACCCCGGTCTGAGCAGGCCTGAGCAGGGTCCCAGGTGTCACGGGGGCCCCAGGAGATGGTGGCTGAGCTCCTGCTCTCTGGAAGGCTGGGATGAGGTCCTTCACTCTGGAATATCGTCAGTGTTTGGGCTGTTCAGCAGCTGAGGCTGGACAGACCTTTCATGCTCTGGAAATGCAGATAGCAGGAGGGGAATGGGCATTGCAGTGCCAGTTTTCAGTAGGTTTAAATCCAAAAGCCCTTTAAGGATTCTGCCCTCAAGTTTTCAGAATGCTGTGGAGGCCTGTGCCC